TATCGAGACTGCTCGCTGTTTCCTCTGTTTGATGGGATTGTGGGGCGGTTGGTTGCTGATGTTCACAGCCGGAACTAAGGGGGTTTACGTCAGGATTCGTTATGGAAATGGAGATACCACAATCCAAGGACAAAACCTGCCAGAGCTCCCTACCTCCATGTCGGTTGAATTGCGGACACCCTCCTTCTATCCCTGTTGGCCAACCTCAACCACCATGGGCCAGATTAGCTCGATCATTGGCGACAGTTCGGTTCAAATCAGAGCTCAAGAAACGAAGCTGCTTGCCGTAGGGCCTACAGACGTGGAGTCTCACCGTCCCCGCACTCAGTCGCCAAAATCGCCATTAGTAAAGAGGGTGATAGATTGTGTGGACTCAGGAGAAGCCGAAGATGTGGAATTGCGAGGCGATTCAACTCGGTTGGGTGTAAGTATGGGCAGGGAGGCCTCGAGGATGAGGGTTTCAAAGAGGAGAGCGTTGCGGGGTGAATGGGTTGGTGTTGTTGGCCGGTCGAAAGCTGTTTACTTAGCGTGCACGTGCTATCGGTGAACGTAATTTTGATGAGATGACAGCGATAGGATGTTGGAAGGCCATTCATCCACCTAGCTACCTAGTACGCACGGTTTGCAAGCCTGAAGATCAAATTGGAAGAAGGCGCTAGGCAAAAATTTGGTCCTCGAACCTGTTAGGTGAGGACTTCGTGATACATTTATCGGCTACATCACAATTCAGGGTCATACCTAGGATTTTCCATTTGAACCAATAACGCCCCCGTGATAGTGCATCGTCATTGTAGCCTTTTGATTCTCCTCCCTTGTTTTCAACTATATTGAACATATATGTGCCACTCCACCATCGACTTCATGTTCCTTATCTATACTATTCATATAGAAGTACTTCTACTAGATCTGTGTCTAATCCACGGCATGATACTACGTACCTTCCCCATCAAATATCTTTAGCTACATCTTGTCCATTCTCTCAACCTCTAGTTTTATCTCGCCGCCAGGGAACAAGACTATAATATTCAATAGTGCATGGTGTTACCTCACTTCGATACTCCACAGTATTGACCCTTGCTCATAGCTTCATGCAATATCCGTGGCTTCGCCCTCTCTCACTTAATTATATGCGTCATCTTCGGCATCCACCTTCGTCCCACCCAATCACCACTCCAGGCTCGCGTCAAGACGCTTCTCGCACTGTTCCATGTCATAAAAATGACTCACGTGCCTCGGTTCAGTGAGGTGAGAGAGAAGTCGAGCAGAAATCAAGGTGAAGGCAAGTGAAAACGATCTCGAGCTTTTGATTGAGCTAATAACAAGAGCTAATAGTACGATCCCTCAAGGATTTTACTCTAAACCCTTGTCACTACGCTCTCTACAGCTCCAACACGGATTGTTTACAATTATTGACATCAATCTGTGGATCCAGTGACCATGACATTCTTACAGCGGTCGTGGCCCAACCCTGAAAACAGCAGTCAGGTTGCAGGTCCGAGCGACAATCCTGTGGGCCATTTCGATGGAGCAGGATCAGAACCAACTGAGACAGACTTCCTGAACTACGATCTCCAGCCGGATCACGAGACTAGACAGACGCAGCATTTCAGCAATGAGCTTGAGAGTATGGACACGAGCCCGAAACTTGACGCCGTTGGCCAATCAAATGATGGAGCAGGAGTAGGCTCGGGCGAGAGGAGCTTCACGCAGCACGATGGGCATCAGGGTCAATATCATGATGGCGGAGATCTTGGGCTTTCCATTACTGAGGAAGATCGTATGGAAACGAGCATGACACTTGATGCTGATCATCAGTTCGGAGACCAGGCTGGAGGATTTGAAACAGCTTCCTTGAAACAAGAGCAGGATCAGCATTCCATGCAGGAAGAATATGAGAACGAACAGAAGCAGCCTTCTGGCAGTGAGCTCGAGTCCGACTCCAGGTACGCTCAGTCTACGGCTCGTGTGCACGAAGGGCACGGACAGTTCCCGCAAACCTTGAGAACCAGGTACGATATCGGAAGCTCAGTCCAGGATACACTGTCAGGACATAGCTATCCCAGCCCATTCAGCGCTCAAGATTATATTCAACAAAGCCAACATGCTAGATCCGAAATGAGCCACATTCGAAACTTCCAAGGACCTCAGAATCTCGGATACAGATATGGAAGTCCGACACAGCATCCTATGACCATTCAGGACAGCAACAACGACTCTTACTATACCAAAGAACTGAAGATTCCTGACCCGCGCCAGGGGCACAAGTTTATCAGCTTTCCACAAGGCGGCAGTTCCGGACATGCTCATCTCTCTGCATCTGCCAACCGCCCAGCCTTCTTAAATGAACAGCACAGACCCCTAGTTGACCAACTATACCGCTCTGACAGGAACAATGTCATCAATCTCCGCAGGGAATATAGAGACGATGGAGACGATACATCTGACGACGAGCCACTACAAACTCGAGGGCGGCTGTACACTGCCCCTGCCTCACACCGGTCCTCCCCTACTAAGTCTCAACCCAGCGTTGAGGATCCTAGCTCTGCTGTCCTCGATTCCAATGCTGAAACCGCCGACACGGGATTTGATTTCAAGCTCCCGTCACACGAGGTCCTTTACGAAAACACGCCAGATGGGGAACCGTTTGCCAAAGTCTCGCTGCCGGGTCTCGTCCGCGAGGCCGTGCTACTCTCGCCCGATCACAGCAACGAGGAATTCCACCTCTTTATCAACGTCTTCCTCCCCTCGCACCTCAACCAGCCAACACCAGATGCGGAGCCCGCACTTGCAGTGCTGAACTTCCACACTATCGCCGTGCTCGTCATCGAGACTTACCACCTTCTGCGTGACATCGAGGGCAAGGATCCCAAGGGCCTAGACATCGACGAAGTCTTCTTCCAGGTTATGGACAAGTGGCGCGTTGGCATGATGAGCGGGAAGGAGGGATATAAGCTCTTGCGGGGCGTCCAAGAGTTCTGCGACTTGGCGCTGGATCTGTTGTTTTGGGTCAAGGAGCATGGACTTGGTGTGTCTGTGCCTGAGGCCGAGAAGAAGGAGAGGAAGGAGAGAAGCGACAAGGGGACGAAGCGGGAAAAAAAGCCTGGAGGAGCGAGTCCGGCGGATACCGTGCGGGGTGCAAAGAAGGCCATGGTACCGCCGCCGCGGAAGGAGAATACGCTGCTGGCGAGGAAGAAGGAGAAGCCAAAGGAGAAGAAGAAGAAGAAGCCGAGTCAGAAGGAGAAGAAAGAGGGGCTGGGCAAGATAACAGTGTACAAGCCTACGACTACGGGGCGAGTCGAGAAGAGGAAGTGAGGTGAAAAGTGGACTTGGTAGGTGGCGTTGGGGCATGGAGGTATGGGGGCATCCAGTAAGTGTTTGAAAACTGACTATGGGCTGGACGTCCCTCTAACTAATATTTTTAAGTGCTGAGTTCTCGAGATCCAGCGGAAGGGTCGGATAGCCTTTATATTTTCATTGGACAACAACGCAGTAATAGCAGGTGGAAAAAACTTCAATGGCGTGCATCTTTTTTTCACCACCCTGGCGTTTTGACTCTATTGGTTGGATGGCAGATATGCACATGGCTATTGGACATTCATATGCCCCTACTATTCGATCCGGGACTCTTTATCTATCTACTGCATCAATGTCACAACTTGGAACATTGTCCATTCCCTCAATCATTAGCTGTCCTCTTTTCTTTTCTCCGCCAGCCGGAAGGCGATAGTTCCTAATCGACTCTTCCTCAATTCGGAGTAGTATGTGTCCTGATGTCTCTGACCATCATTCTCCTACCAGAATATCATATTATGTCATTACGTCTGCCCGTCCCTCTGTACGCCGCGTGCAGGTAATCCAAAGTATCAACTACATTCCACTTTCCACTTTCCACAACTAACTCTACCTTCTCCGCCTTCAAACTCCTACCTTCTTAATCATTACTCCAAACAGCATGTCTAGAGGCACATGGCGCATAGACGCTCAAACCAGAAATGAAATACAGTCACCGAACACGAAGAACGTACACAAGGGATCAATTACCTTCCGAGCAGAGCTCAATTAAACCACAAGTAAGTAAGTTGACGACGGAAGCATAAATCGATATGACACATAAATCGATATGACAGAGTGCAATCGAGGTAATTGCAACAAACAGCCAAAAGACAAATAGAGACAGCGCGCGCGCGCATATAGATCTATAAAACAAGCATAAGTTCAGATCCAGACCAGCGCGTCAGCTGAGGTTGGTGTGTACGAGTCCGTGAGATCGCCGGATACCCATCGAATTTGCCCAACTCTTGGTGCGAGGGCTGGGTTTGCAATGATGGTACGAAGGAACTTGACTGCATTGGCGTGGCTCCGTCCCGATTGAAAGATCTGGTAGACGTCGACTGCCCAGGCAGACATCCCTGAACAATCTTTGCCACTGGCAGATGCCCGGTACGCGAGTATTTCTACAAGTAGACCGTCTAGGAGTGCTGCTAGGGACGAAGGTGTATGAAGAGACGTGTTATCAGGGACGGGCGAATCCTGTGCTAGCACAATAACGGGGTTACGTCTCGTGCTCGGCTATTTCGTGGTAGGAGAGGATAAGGAAGAGCCTTCTCTTAAGACCGTCGGCTGGTGTCATAATGAAGATTCTGAGAGAGAAAGTTAGTTTGATTAGCAGGTTGAGGCGATAGATGTGCAACCAACTTGGATGGAAGAGTGATGACTTCAGTTCTGCTAGTTTGAGCTAGTGAGAAGGTTAAAGGCGGGGCTTCATGGCTTTAAAAGGCACAGAGGTTTGCGTAACGCGCCGTGCAACGCCAAATCACGTGTTGAAGTGTATCACCTACGCCACAGAAACGTTCAAGTGGGCTAAACTTCAGTAAACAGAGAGAATAGAATTACAAGGCCGTAAGAATTCCCTACCCACGTATTCCCAACCGAAAGCAATGCATGTATATATATTACTTACTGTAAGGAAGTAATATTCAAAAAAAGCAGAAACCCTCAAGTCTCTCTTAGTACAGTGGTAATTAAGTATGTTGGCTTGTCGCGCCGATGACGCAAGTTCGATTCTCGTAGAGAGAAAATCTCTACTTTTTTCTTTTTACTAAGATATCTTGGAAATGTAATCAACCTACGCTCCTCCCCTCTCTTAATCCATTTATTTCTGAACACGATTTTTCCTTTCTTTTTTTTTTTCACGTAGAACATTCCAAACACAGCACGCCGCACGAAGGCCAACAAGAACGACGACGACGACGACGACGACGACGACGACGAGAGTAAGTAAGTAAAAGAATAAGAAAATGGAACCAAACCCCCTTACTCCTACATACTCTACAACCGAACTTGGAGCGCATACATATCGTTTCCGCCCATGCACAACGATTAGGAAGGGCGATGACCTAGCCCCAGCTCTACGGACACACTACAAGCCCCCAAACCCTCAAACCCTCAAACACGCCCGGTACACCCCATGCTATTGCAAGTACCTCTTCCTTTATCTCTCGTAAGGATTATTGGACGAAAGGGGGAGTATTATTAGAGGGCAAGAGAGGGCGAGACAGGTTGGCTTAAGAACACTTCGTTGTATAGAAAGAGTGTATATGTTATGGATTGTCACTATGAACACCATCATGTACGTACCGATCAAACTATATCAGGCCGTAAAATTGAACACGCTCAGAGACTGAAGGAGCGGACGACAAGTATGAACTTGACATAGGTAGGAGTGAAAGAGGGAATGAAACACAGAGGAAGACAGTCTGAATACCGCGTTAGTCCTGAACTTGACGATACCAATCATCAAGACTCAGTCCCAACTCTGATCCACGGAAGGGATCACACCGTCAATCTGATACCCTTCTCTCCCAACGCCGACACATTTCCCTGCTAATATCCAGCCTTCTCTCCCAACCTCGGCACTCCTCCCTTCCAATCCTCCCTCTCATAATACCTAAACACAAGATCATATCCATCCAAATCATGCACAATTCGATCCACCCTCTTGTACCCCTTGATGGCATCCATCCTCTTGCTCTTCTGGACTCCCTTGCCTAGACCATCCTCCCCGATAGGCTTGGCCTCAAAGATGGTGACGCTGAACCTGCCGGGTTTGAAGATGCCCACCACATGTTCTACTACCTCAACGGTCTCGCGACCGCACTGGCGGGCTGGAACGTTGGTCTCAAAGGAGGCGTAGCTGCACTGCGGCTCAGGAGTTACGTGCACAGTGAAGTAGTGCGTAGCATCAGAGCCCTTCTTAGATCCGTTAGGAGCGCCACCAGGGGCAGGGATGACACCGTTGGCAGAGAAACCACAGGGAGTGAACAGGTAGGCGTCGATACGGGCATCTGGATACTTGGAGGTAGGATACACATCGGCCAAGCCGCAGGTCTCAGAGACAACGGTGCCGAGCGTGTGGCCTTCCGTGGTCAACTCCTCCGGGAATGTAAGGTCGTCCTCATCAGAACTGAACCCCGAGTGATCAGATGAGGTCTGCTCAAAGACATCGATCTCAGAATGAGGGTGGGTGTTGGCAGCAGAGTTGAGGACAGTGGACCCGCCCAGGCTCTCGCACCTCTCTTCCAGGATAGGATTGAGGGCTTGAACGGCATGCTTGCGAGCATCGCGAGCTTTCTGGAAAAACCGACCTTCCGCGACCGCACTCGCGTCCTCGAGATAGAACTGGCGGGCGTTCATCTCGTCGAGGTCAGTCATGAGGATTTCCAAAGTCTCGTCTTCCTCTTCGTCCGTTGCCTGCTGGGACAGCAAGCGTGTAGGGTGGCTGATGAATTTGGTCTCAGTCTCTGACAGCATGACTTCACGGTCCGGGCTAGCAGGTGGAGTCAGGCGAGTGTCCGGGCCGGTGGTGTAGAGGTACCAGTGCTCTCCATTCATCTTTCCAATCATGTACGCACTGCCTCCTTGGAACTTCTCATCCAGGAAGCGGACTTCATCTCGCCAGCTACGATGGGGTCCCCGCTGCTGGTCCGGAAAGAGGAAGTTCTTCCTGCTGTAGAAGATGCGGTATGGGGTCGCGGCAGCAGCAACGCCACGCAGTGGTTGGGCTATCACATGAGGAAAGCCTGCATCGAGGGCAGCGATTTCCAACAAGCGAGGAAGCCCCCAAAGCAGAGTGGTAGTACCGCAGGTCTTGAGAACAACCTTGTTGGGGAAAACGAACATGCTAGACTCGGAGAGGAGATAGGCATCGACATGCTCGGACTCGATGATGGATAGGACCTTGCAGTTGACGAGGTCCAGCATTTCCTTCCACGTGTCCGCGGGTACGGCCTTCAGACCGAGCGGGCCCGCCTTCCCGGGCAGGTCGGTGGCGGAGGCGCTAAACCATACTTCTAAAAGCTTCTCGGGGCCCTCGAAGGCATTGCTGGAATCAAGATCGACAGTCGCCTCCTTGTTGATGGTGAGATGCGGGGTTCCGATATGCGAGGACGGAGACGCAGTGTAGTGTTGGGGGATCGCAGTATTGACCATCTCTTGAAAACTTGGCGAGCAAGTACCCGGCGACTAGTTGAATGCGACGAGTGTGAGAAGTGGTGTCGGGGCGGGAATGCAGGAGGGGGTATGGCTGTGAGGCAGTGAAGCACAATCTGCCACCCAGACGAACAGAGCGGTGTCCGCCTGAGAAGAGAAGGCCCACGTGTGGTGGGGACTGAGAGGGCTGGCGTCTGCCAGCTGCAAGCGTGGAGTGATGCGGAACGTCCGTGAAGGGCGTTAGGGAGGTCGGGCGGAGAGCGGAATAAACGAGGCTTTTCGCCGAGAAATGGTGACAGGCGGTTGTGGTCCTCGAGCGACTAGATTCCGATACCCTGGGGAAGTATCGGGTCCAGCAGACGAGGGGATCTGCTTATTGGGGGGTGTAGGTTGAGGGTGGGCGGTGGAGCGTGGGGGGTGTTATCTGGGCCTGTATATGTGTGAGTTGGGAGTGGCAGAATGGGTGGGGCACGTGATTGGTGTTTTGCTCGTCTCGCAGGGGTGAATGAGGCAAGAGGGAGAGAGCACTCACTTTGCAGGCTTGGAGAGGAATCGAAGGAGGTCTTCGCGACGCATAGAAGGGGCGGTTGGGACGGGGGCGAGCGGTCTGCGGGCTGCGGCAGCCTATGCAGGATTGGTGGGCGTCGACAGTAGTTGTGCCAGCTTGACGGATTTCCCGTGGGTGCAGCGGACGGGCGTGCGGCGGAGGGCAATGGTTGCGCGGTGGCGTGGAAGCTATTCACCGTGAGCGAGTTGTGCTGGGCGGGCGGGAAAAGCTGGCGGGCAGGTGCGAGAACAAGCCACAGGGCAGAATGTGCGAGAGGGAGCGTACGTGGGAGATGTGGGTGCAGCTCGTCGCGAGAGGCGTGCTGCGTGTGCAGAGGGAGGAGAGCGATGAGCGAGGTCTGCGGTGCGAGGTTGGGCGCGGTCGTGTGCGAATTTTCGGCAGACGCAATGTGTGTTGGGTGAGGCTTTTTTTTTGACGACGTAACAGCCCGCCGCAAGTGGCTGGGCTGGGCTACGTGTGGCTCCTCTCCGCGGCCAGGGCCTTGTTCACTCC